CGAACAGCGTGGTCCCACCGTCCAAGTACGTTTTCTCTGAATAATTTTCATTGCAAGCTGTGAATAACTAACCTTTTAAACAATTCAATCATGCTTTTTAATCGTCGAATCAGAACCGCTCTGAATAAATTGAAATCATATCAAGTTAGTCAAAATAAGAAACGGCAATCATCTTCGGAAAATTTTATAGCCATCATTTGTAATTGAAACGGGAAATCTCACATGTTATAAACCCAACGATACCGAATTTGAAAAAAATATGCATAATTTGAAGTCTAAAAGAATTTAAAGTTATATCGCACTAGAAGGGCCGGCCATTGTTGTATTAGTTCAAACATGGGTCTGGCGCCGCTCCGGGAAATCCCTACTATTTTAGATTTCTACTATCCCAAAATGCCGTCGTTTCCGTAAATATAGCCACTTAATTCTATATTAGCATTAGGTGGCAAAATTTTCTTGTTGGAACGTGTACGAATTTAGATAGCATGAGACTCGATTATCCTTGATGATAAGAGCCTCTGCCATCGAGTCTCGTATTGTAGTGTCGGGGCATCGTATGACCAAAGCGGTGGACCTCAGGTAAGCCGGAGGACCAAGGAATCATATGCGGGAGGCCCACTACGAGACCATCACCCGTGCCACGTTGGAGGTCTGCACCAGCATCGTCATGCGCTGCCCCGATCCTACAAGACTGTCGATATAGCGGAGGCTCTCATCATCGAGGACGAGTCTCCTGCTATCAATTTGTAAACAGCAGGATTTGTCGGGACGTTGAACTTATTCTCGGATTAATTTAATTTCCGATTTTGAACCGCATCTAAATACTTTTTGTATGCACATATATCACTTCCAAATTTCAATTTTAGGAGTTATAATAACTCTTCACTAACATGATAATGAATATTGAATATTCGAAATATCGTATTCAACTAAAATGTTATTTGGTAACCTGCTTTTTTATCTCCAAGCACCAGCAAGAAATTTTGCTCGGCTTATTGAAATAAATAAATAAGAAAATTGTTAATAAAAAGTATGCTCTGATCTTCAATCAAACCTGCATAAATGAAGAACTTCTGTAAAACTACACTAAAATCTAGTTAAAAACAAAAAATTATTTATTTTTCTTCAGAATTTGGAAGTAGAGGCAGATATGAAGTATGAAAACGCGATTTTAGAAGGGCATATTGATATAGAATTCAGTGGCTATATTTACGGAAATGATGGCATTTTGGGATAGTAGGAATCTTGAATAGTAGGGATTTTTCGGAGCAGCGCCAGACGCATTTTTGGCGCATTTTCTCATGTATGGAAAAAAGGCGCTGTTGTGCTCGTCATGTCCGTCCGTCTGTCCGTCCGTCCGTGAATTCACGTTTTCGTCGATAAGAAAATGCGCTTTCTCTCACTCACTGCAGTGAGTAGGTACTGAGTTATATTTTTGAACTAATTCAACAATGGTCGGACCTCCTAGTTCGATATATCTTTAAATTCGTTTAGACTTTAATTCGTGCATATTTTAACAAGTTTGGTATCGTTGGGTTTATAACATGCGTAAGATTTTCCGTTTCAGTTACAAATGATGGCTATAAAGTTTTCCGAAGATGATTGCTATTCCGTATTTTGACTAACTTAATATAATTTCAATTTCTTCAGAGCGGTTCAATTCGACGACTAAAAAGCATGATTGATTTGTTTAAGAGGTTAGTTATTTACAGCTTACATTGAAAACTATTCAGAGAAAACGTACTTGGAAGGTGAGACCACCCTTTGTAACCAATGATATGTTTTTAATTTCTTACAGTTCCTTTTATAACGGGCCTTATAATGCGTCTTCATGTTGCTACAAGTAGAAGTTGAGGCAGCAAACGCATAAATCCAGAGAAAGGTCAATTTGGTTACAAATTGACCTTTCTTAGGTCAATTTGTCAATTGTCAATAGGCAGAGGTGGGCAGTAGCACGCTACATGTAGCGGCCGCTACTAGCAGCGCTACATTTAAGCAATTGTAGCGGTAGCGGCAGCGCCCGCTACATATTTAAGTAGCGATACGAGGTTTTGCCGCTACAGCGCTACCACTACATTTATAGATAAAGCCTTTAGATTTTATTTAATAGTATTAAATATTATTTAAAAACCAGCATAATACACAGAGCTGGGCAGCGCTACTTTGAAATGTAGCGCCGCTACCGCTACCGCTACATGCTCTAAATGTAGCGGGCGCTACCGCTACCGCTACACCCACTAGATTGTAACGGGCGCTACCGCTACCGCTACAGTAAAGTGTAGCGCGCTACATTAGCCGCTACAATGGCCAAAATTATTAGAAATCTTTTGATATTTATTGTTCTGCTATTGGAATTTACTCATAAACATTTAATGATAATAAAACATTTTCAAAACATATCAATGCAACTTTATTGCAATTAACCCAACAGAACTAGTACGGGTTAGATACAGTAAATAAAAGTTAGTTATTTTTATATTTTACCTTCCCGGCACATGGATGTTTACTTTAATCTACCAATCTCAAAAATTATCCACATATACATATAAAAAATCAGTCTTTTATTTGTATATATATGTTGATTATTTTTGAGATTGGTAGATTAAAGTAGACATCCATGTTGGGAAGGTGAAACATAAAAATAACTGTAAAAATAACTGTAAGCAAACTGAAACACGAAAAAATACCTGTAAGTGGTAACTGGTAACAACTTAAGGGGGGCGTCTACCCTAAAGCTTTCGGATTTGGCTTTTCCGGTTTTTAGTCTCATCTTAAAGCTGACATTCTGCCCTATCCAATGGTACCATTATCATCTCTGTACGTTGATTTATGCGTTCACGCCAGATCATGAAAGGGAAGGGGGTGGTGAGTTCTTTTACAAATAGAATAGGAGGAAATTCGCTGCGAGCACTTTAAATAGAGTGTCGGCTTGAGGTGCACCTTAGTTACCCGCCTGGCGTCGTATGGGGAGTTATGCATGCAGTCGCTCCCACCATCCTTGACTGGAATCAATCTCCTATAAAGTTTAGTTTTGTATCCTTGCTACATTGAGTGCCTATTGCGATGCGCTCGGGGCTTTGTCGCGCTCGCCTGAACATTCACACTTATTGCCACGGCAAACCTATCTCCTCCTAGACTAGAGTTTTGAAGCTACAGCGATGAGACATATACCATTCGATTCGTAAAGACCATACCTATCGAGTTATCGAGCCTTTTTTACAACGTTTTTCTTAGCTCGCTTTCGTGTCTGTGATGATCAAATCTTGCAATCGATATTTCACCAACTTTCCCATTAGCTAGCGCTCTGAAACTTTTAGGGAAGCTCAGCTCCCGATAACAATACAATAATCAATAATTTGTTGCACGTTTCCAGGCGTATAAACTCTAAAGGAACTCACAAGCAAGGGTTGGAACCTTTAATGCACGTCATCCTCGAAGAATGAGAAGAAAACGGAAAAATGCGTGTAAAAAATTGAGAGAATGAGAAAAATGAGAAAGAATGAGAAGAAAACGGAAAAATGCGTGTAAAAAAGGGCTCGATAACTCGATAGGTATGGTCTTTACGCATCGAATGGTATGCGTCTCAATGTTGTAGCTTGAAAACCCTAGGAGGAGATAGATTTCTTCAGTACCCTTTTTGTCCGTTTTCTATAAATTTCACGTTTTCTATTAATTTTTCCGAAAAATCGTACGAACAAAATGTTCTTGTATTTTGGTTTTACATATATGTGTGAAATTTCAGAAAGATCCGTTAGTAAATGTGAAAGTATTTCTGGAGGGTATTCCCCCCCTTAAGTAAAATCTAAAGGCTTTATCTATATATGTAGCGGTAGCGCTGTAGCGGCAAAACATCGTATCGCTACTTAAATATGTAGCGGGCGCTACCGCTACCACTACATTGCCGTAAATGTATTGCCGCTACCGCTACCGCTACTGAAAATGTAGCGGCCGCTACATGTAGCGCGCTACTGTCCACCTCTGATAATACATACATAATATAAATTACAGAATAAAACTGTACGAGAAATTTCGGTGTAATGTTGTCAATCTCAGCCTGTTACTAGTGTCAACATGTTAGTTGTTATCAGAGGCGCTACTTGTAGCGGCCGCTACATTTTCAGTAGCGGTAGCGGTAACGGCGTTACATTTAAGCAATTATAGCGGTAGCGGTAGCGCCCGCTACATTTACAGCATGTAGCGGTAGCCCACCCAGAGGTAGCCCAGAGGAAGCTACTGCCCACCTCTGATAACAACTAACATGTTGACACTAGTAACAGGCTGAGGTTGACAACATTACACCGAAATCTTTCGTACAGTTTTATACTGTATTTTATATTATGTATGTATCATGCTGATTTTCAAATAATATTTAATACAATTAAGTAAAATCTAATGGCTTTACCTATAAATGTAGCGATAGCGCTGTAGCGGCAAAACCTCGTATCGCTAGTTAAATATGTAGCGGGCGCTACCGCTACCGCTGCAATTGCTTAAATGTAGCGCCGCTACCGCTACTGAAAATGTAGCGGGCGCTACATGTAGCGCGCTTCTGCCCACCTCTGACTATACTATACTATACTAATTTGATTCCCGTATGTGGCTACTTTAAGATTCTTTCCACTATGTAATTTTTATTATTATAATAGTAAGAGGGATATCGAAGGGAAAAATAATATATTTGTCAATAAAATTAATTCCTTCCACAACAACAACTGACGACTAGTGCAAATTATTTTCACCTTAATATTTTTATAGGTGGGGTTAATACTTGTGGCGACAAATGCGCACACCAGATGCATTTGGACCCTGAACACAACTGCTCATTTCATAGCATTTGTCGTACCGCACAAACGCGTGCGGTGCCGGTGTGTAGCAACCGTAGTCTCCAACTTTCCTTAGATATTATTGTTAAATGTTAATCTATTTAATATAATAGCGGTTTCAGCGTTTATTAGGCCTGTTACCGATTCTTAACATTGCAGAACATTCACAGCTTGTTGCGGTCTTGATTCTCGAACACTCAAGTGACTCAACTCACTGCCTCAATTTTGCTTGGCCTCCTTGTCGAAGTCTGAACAGAAACGGGCACAGTGCAGCTGGGTTCAAACCAGCACGGTCGGCGGTCTCACCTCTCTGCTGTCTGGCCCGGTCTGGGAACTGGGATCGAACCTGCATCTCTGACTGACTGGCTCTGCTGTTGATTTTTCACAAAAATATGACTGAGCATAATTTTTCTAACACATTTGCTGCAAAGCAGCTGGCAAAATTTGGCTGGAAGAAAGGTGAGTAGCCTAGTATTTTTGAATTTATTCCTGAAATTGAAAATATATAAGTAAAGAAGTATATACTGTAGTAGGCCTAGTTTATTTACTCTATTAGATTTTCTGAACATTCTGCTTATGGTCCATTAAGCAATGGTTGGTTTTCCATTTTTAGAATGCAATTTTTAAGTCATTTGCAATATTTTTATCTTATTGTAGTTTCTGCCTAAATTTATCTAGTCATGATCAGTTGAATTTTCAAATATCTTGATTAAATTTGATTAGCCTTAGTGTAGCCTACTTTAGTTAGTTAGGTATGTTTGCAAAAACTTTTTTATTCTGATTGTAATGATAATTATATAGGTATCTAAAAGGAGAGAAAAATCTAAGAAAATACCATATAAATTTTAGTGGAGTAGGGTAAACGCGGTATATTCCGACACATTAAGGATGCATTGAGAAATGAAAAACTATAAAAAATAACCGTATGCGTTACTCCAGTTTCGTTTGCTTTATGTGACTCGCAAAACACCGTACTACGCACCAGCAACAATGAAACGTCACAAAATGTTGCCATATTTATTTAAAAGCCTTTAGAATGCAAACTTACCAAATCCCTATATTCCAACACTGTGTGTGGCAATATTTGGCACGTGGTGAGGCGTATTCCGTCCGCGCTTCAAATTCTACTGATACGTAATGCCGTCATCCATGTGTTTGAATTCCGTTTGCTGTGTGAGCTGTATTGGAATACAACACGGCTTTGAATTAGAACACTAATGAATATTGAACACTACTTAATTACTTTTTTAATTAACAACTATTAAGCTTTTAATTAAGCAAATTTTAATTTTTGTACATAGCTTGGAATGATCTGTGTGTGTCCAATTCAAGTTGTGACGGAATTAGTTTTCATGTGTCTAAATCCATTTCTCAACTTAATAATCTATTAATTTATTTACCACTTGAAATCAGCGAATACAAGTATACTTAAAGGATTCCTAATAGGTATATTCACAGATGTATTTAAAAGTCTCAAACCATAATATTCTTCCTATGCAAACAGTTATTCACTATTTGGTAGAGCAAGGTCAACTGTCAAATTTGACAAATTTTTTGATGATCTCACTGGGTAGCGTGCATTGTCTCTCTTTGGATCTCAATATTTTCCCGCTAGATGGCCAAGACCTAGTGTTTTGGCAGTAGTTTGATGCGCAAATGTATGATGTCATCATTTCAACTATCAACAAACGCATGGAACTAAAACAAAGCTTAATATAAAGGAAAAACTAGAGAGGTGACGGAATTACCCACGATGTCAGAATATACCGCGTTTACCCTAACTTATAGGGACTATTTTGAGCCTTCTTTGGTAATAAGTGCTCATCATAAAACATTTCATTAAACCATTAATGACGAGAATTATTTACTGAAATTTTTTTGGGTTCTTGGTGAGAATATTATCATTTGTGATGGTAATAAACAAAAAATATGTTCATATATTTATTTTTCGTTGTATGTGAAAAACTATAGCTTAGTTCCATATGGAACCGCTCGGCATTAACATAATGTTTCTTCAAACAACACTTTTTACGATAGAAAATCAAGCAATGTTATTCATAATGGATAATACGTAGGTATTCTTAATGGACAATACTGATGATAAATCAATCATGGCAGAATACAATTTAATTTTTAGCATAGAATGCTTCCATTCGTTCAAAATGAATAGGAAGGTTTCACATTTTATGAATGTTTGTGGGTGCTTTGTCAACATTGTTTACAAAGCACTGCATTTGCAGTGCTTCTGATGTCTCTTTGCTGGCCAATATTGTTGATTGTTTTATTGTACTTCATCAAGGATCGAAGTAGAAGGGTGCACTAAATGCCCTGATTGTTTTATTTAGGGTCTCCTGCATTATTGCATTTCCTAACCAATCTTTATGAAAATTTATTGCAATAGCCATTCTTTTTTTCAAAAGTTTTTTGAGAAGCCAAATGAAACCAGAATAGATATCACACATAATATTTTGGCTTGGGCCCAATTGTATCATGTTTATGGGACCAATCCATGTTCCAGCCCGTGAATATGTTTCTTTTTCTATTAGATCTACCGATTGGCTTCAATTGCAGAAAAATATCATCTGATTTATCTGCTGCCCAAAGTTTATAACTAAATCTCTCGGGCTAGCCATGTATATGACGTAGTATAATGTGGCCATGTCGACCACAGTTGACCCTCTTCTCTGTCGATAGTTATTGTTTTCACATTTGGTGGTTACTGTTGCTACAATGACTATTCTCGATAGGCGAGCAGAATTGCTAGTGGCTGCGTCATCTGAGTTATCTGAATCTCAATATGTTTCGTTTGTTGCTGCTTCTGTGAAAGGTTCAGTAGCAAATATTTGATCTTCGTGTTATTCTTCTCTCGAAATCTCAATTTATGATAATCTGCCAAAAATACAATTAGAAAAAAGTGACTCGGGATGAACAATCGTATAGTGTTCACCGTACCTACTTCCAAATATTGCAACTTTCAGGATATATATTCCTAACAGCTCTAAAGATAATAGTTCACTAATAAATAACAGAAAAACTGTTGATCTAATAGCCAGATAAATAGTTTCTAGGTACAAACAAGTTTTTGAAATACAATGCGTAACTATATCACAAAGTAATCTACTGGGAAAGTGATATGACCGGAATGCTTACACTACTGCCGAGCGGTTCTATTTGGAACCAGACAAAATATTTCATGATCTAAAAGACTTTAGAAACATCATATCACGTAATACCATATACAGAATTAAAAGTACTCTCTTTATCAATAAAATTCTGCATCTAACTTATAAATAATATATTATTAGAACGAACTACCTACCTTTCTCTGCAATGATGTCAAGCTCTCCTGTCTGACACCCGGTACTTACAATCTTTTAATGTTAACTGAGCAGGAATTAGTTGGCGCAGCAGAACCAAACGTTGTCAGAACACATCCAAGATGTGTATCAAACCTACGCATCCACTAGTATATTGATTTGACCATACAATTTTATTATGAATCCATTTTTTTCCGCTGGTTCCAAATGGAACCGCTCGGCATTAATGGGTTAAAGAGTTTGATCTAATTTTAAAGGTCTTTGCAAGCAGCAAAAGCCCAAGGACTATTGTAATTTGTATGGTATCTCCAAAAAATTCCACATGACATTTTGTTCCACGGCTTTTGTATATGCTCGACTTTCCATGCCATGCATTCTGAATTTGAATTTCTGCACACCGGCTTCTCGCTTAATGGATTTCCTTCTGGCCTGGTGTTTACCCAGATTAAGAAATTCATGTCTAAGTGATACAGTGAAGTTGTTCCAGAATCCAGAGCCTGATAGTAGAAAAGCGGTTACTGTTCTTTTCCATACTTCGGCCATGCGTCCAAAGTTATGTCAAGAGAATTAAGATTTGTTTATGAAATACTATCCGGACATTGATCTTTGTATCTTACTGGTAACTGGTTAACAATTTCAAAATAGGTTTGTTTTTTAGGTACAAAGATATCATCCCTTCTCACATGCGATCGTCCCTAGTTTATAAATTTAGTTGTGCACGATGTGCATCTGCGTATGTCGGAATGACGGCACGCAACCTTTACACTAGGGTTGCTGACGCTGAGCATAAAGGGAGGAGTTATATAGGGCTGGGCAGTTACTATCTCGCCCTCCTCATTCGGCTGTGCACACTCATGCTGAACAGTGCAATGTTCCGGTGTCCGACACTGACTTTAAGATTTTAGCTTATAGTTCTGGTGCTTCCGATCTGTGCATTTTGGAATCATTGTATATTTTTAGTGAGAAGCCTAGTTTAAATGATGCTTACAGTTCTTATCCATAAGAAATTGTGAATAGATAGGTATTTCTTGATTTTTCTTTCCTTTGCCTGTAAATTTAGGTTTTAACTTCTGTTGTTTTTTTTCTTATGACTCCAAACTTTATTAATTTTCTGACTGTATTTGTGTCCATCCTAGATTTATTGAACTGATTATGGAGCTGGTCTCCAAAACGTTTTCAATAGAGAAATGCTGAATATTTTGTAAGGTGCCAAATGCAAAAGAAAAGTTTCCTGAATTACCCCTGGCCCTGGGAATGGGATAGTTTGGAATGTGTGCTATAAAACTTGATTTTAAAATGTTTGAAGAATGCAAATATACTCATCCATCATAGTAATGTAATACCGTCAACCGCGGCTACTGGGGATGGTTTTGAGCGTTTTTTGTTAATAACTTCTTACCATGAAACATTTCATAAACAAGTTTAGGCTCATTTTATAGCTCTTTGCCAGGGCTATCGAATGGCATCTTCAAAAAAATTCCATATGATATTTGTAAGGAGCCAGAAGCAAAAAAATTGTCCCAAGTAGCCCCGTCGAATGGGGCTACTGGGGACACTTGCAATAAAACTTCATTTTAAAATATTTGAAGCATGCAAAGTGTACTCATCCATTACTAGCAGTACTCTGAAGTCCTCCTCTTTTATTGTAGATGATGTAGAGGTAGAATAAATGACATTTTCAGTGATTTTTACTTGTTTTTCCTTCATTGATATGATATTACCATAAACATTAATTATGGTCAACTCAACTGGGGTGACTTCCACTGTGTTTTTGATTCCTGCTGAGGTCATAAAGGGGGGGGGGATGAGTGACTTTGGCCACTGTTTATGACCTTTTATTACCCCACTTTGGCCATCATTATGAACATGGCAGAATCACCCAGTTGACGGTACTGTATTATTGATGGGATATTACTGTATTATTGATGTGATATTATGGTATCCATGAACATGCCATTGAGCATTTACAACAACCTTGTCCACTGCAAGCTTCATATCAGCAGCATCATAGCATTTTTTCTGTATCTGTAAGCTTACAAGACAGCTTGTAATTTGTGAGACGATAAGTTAACTTTTTTTTCGCTCAGCGAGGTAAATGTAATCAATATTCTTTGTTTTTAATCAATTTTTTTCTTAACTGGAGCCTTTGCTAACTGAGGTTCTACTGTAAATGTGCTTTCCGGGGGTGTCCCGAATAGCCCCGGGGGGGGTGTCCCGAGTAGCCCCGCCGTGCGGAAATGGCCGCCATTTTTTTTTTAATGAGATAGGCAAAATCTGTCAATTACGTTTTCAAGCCAGCACCTGGGTGCAACTTTTATGTAAGTAAAATTTTTTAATACGGCAAATATTTTTTTTGCTACAGACCTTAGCAGAAGTAACTTTTCAAAATAGCGTTTTTCACCATTCTTTTCAGGAATTTTTCAAAGCTAGTAAATGTCGTATTTTTCGACTTTCTTTATACTACATAGATAGGAAAAATGTTGTTGTTTAGGCCACTATATTTAGTTTAGCAATATTCCAATTAGTTTCGCTACTATGACTGTTTTACGACGTGTCAGAGGTGTGTCCTGAGTTGCCCCTCCAGTCCCAAGTTGCCCTGGTTGACAGTATTATATAATATATTTATTTATATGAATTTTTGCAAATTTTGCCTATTGAAGGTTTAAATCGCACTTGAAGAATTCAATAAATGTGATCAGTACACAAAATTTTTCTTTATAATTAAAATTCAGTTTATGCAAATGAAAAATTAGAAACATAAAAATTTAATTTAATTAAATTTAATCAAGTTGCCAAAATAAATAAATATATATATTGATACTTCCACCTTTTGAAGGAAATGCGGAAAGAGCCTCAGTTCCATTGTCCGAGTCAAAACCTTCATTTAAATGCTCATATTTCAATTTGTAGACTTTGCAGCTGGTGATGCTATAGATAGAAGGATGGTCAGATAATTAGTGATTGACTGAGGCATTATAAGGATGCCTCAAAAACAAACAGGAAGCCGTGGTGAGGCTTTTTGTGACGCGTTTTCAAGTGATCATATATGGTAACTTACCCGTGAAAGGGTTAATTGGGTTAAGTGAATTTACTATAAAAAGATCGTGAAAATATACCTGAAACGGAAAGGAATGTTTTAGTGACAACCATCATATATTTTGGAGAAATAAATCATAGTTTAGGTCAATTACCGTAAAATGGGGTTACTTTGACCGGCGGGGTAACTTTGACCTCTTTTTGTTTTTTTTTAACAAAAACCCCCAAAACTCAAAAACGATTTGACATAGAAAAATTTTGTCAATGGCCATCAAAGGCCTAATACTGAGGCTACATAACACAATAGAAAGATTTAAAAAGTTTGCATATCTAATAGGTTAAAAAATTAATATTGTGACACACGAAAAAAAGCTATTATTTAAAGCCTGTCAGAGTACCCCCTCCAATTTTTTTATTTTTTATTAAAATAACTCCAGGTTTTGATGCATTGTAGTAGAACTCTTCTAGTTACATATGCAAAAGACAAATTTTAGGAAAGTGTCATAGTTTGCAAATGGGGGGCGCCGCCCCCCAAAGGGGGAACTTTGACCACCTGATGGCAGCCGTGACGGGGTAACATTGACCGGCTTGGAAATTTAGTTAAAATTACCATAGGTACCTATATAACATATTTTATGTTTGATACACCTATTAATGTTTTTTTCTTTATGTTTCAGACTCTACAGTCTTATATATGGTAATTTTAACTTAATTTCCAAACCGGTCTATGTTACCCTGTCACGGCTGCCATTAGGTGGTCACATTTCGCCAATTGGGCGGCAGCGCCCCCCATTTGCAAACTATGACACTTTCCTAAAATCTATCTTTTGCATATGTAACTACAAGAGTTCTACTACAATGCACCACAACCTGGAGTTATTATACCACAAATTAAAATTGATTTTACCACCCGGTCAAAGAAACCACAAGAGCTGGGGTAACAAAGACCATCACTCTTTTTGGAATTACATCAAAACTATGAGAGGCAAGAGCCAGCAATTTATGGTGAGTAAAGCTAGAGTATAGATATGTATTTTGCATGTTTCAATTTAAGTTTAACTTATCTAGTAAAAAAATGGGATTGTTTTGAAAAAAAAGTGGTCAAAGTTACCCCATTTTATGGTACTTTTCATTCTATGATGCACGGTGCACAATTATATACGGTATATAGCATTCTATGTACAATTTTGTGACGACCGATGATGCACTAATTTTTCGATAAGTGAAATTTTTTTGTGAATAAATATCTTACTTTTCATGTTTCATATTGAAACATGGTAGGCAGAGATAAGGCGAACCATCACATGAGTCACAAAATGTAGAAACTTTTCAAGATTTGGTTTTAGCCGCTTTGGAACCTTCGATTTCGAATATCATTTCATAGCAGCCGCGGCACCTTTTTCTTGTTTTCCATTTGTGCCCTTCAGCTTCCTGAAGATGATGTCCAGATGTTTCAGAAATTTTCAGGGAAGATTATCCAGGCTTTATTTTCTCCTCCATAACGTCACAAGTATAGTACAGTACAATGGATTCCTTGAATGCTCTGATTGTAATTTTCTTTTTTGTACTGTAAAATGGGGTAACTTAGACCACTTTTTTTATAAATGATGCCACTTTTTTTTACTAGCTAAATTAAACTTGAATTGAAACGTGCAAAATACAGGTCTATACTCTAGCTTCACTCACCATAAATTGCTGGCTCCTGCCTCTCATAGTCTTTATGTAATTTCAAAAAAAGTGATGGTCTTTGTTACCCCAGCTCTTGGGGTAACTTAGACTGGGTGGTAAAATCAATTTTTTTTTTTGTAAAATAACTCCAAATAACTCCAGGTTTTGGTGCATTGTAGTAGAACTCTTCTAGTTATGGGTCACATTTTTAATTTTTTAACCTATTAGATATGCAAACTTTTTAAATCTTTCTTTTGTGTTATGTAGCCTCAGTATTAGGCCTTTGATGCCCATTGACAAAATTTTTCTATGTCAAATAGTTTTTGAGTTGTGGGGGTTTTTGTTAAAAAAACTAAAAGTGGTCTAAGTTACCCCGCCGGTCTAAGTTACCCCATTTTACGGTACTTTTCTTGTCACTTTCATCCAATCATTTTCAGCTGGAATATTGTCTTCATTGTCTTGACTTTCGTTATCAACATTGCTTTGATTTTCATCGATACTGTCTTCATGCAATGAGTTGCTTCCTGATTCTGAAAGCGCAGATTCAAGATCGGAACTGTCATCACTGCACCCTGAAACGATATCTTCAGAACTAGAGCTAGCAGTAGTAGTAGATCTTTTTTGACCCTTCTAGAAAGCAGAAACATTCATGGTCACACCTACAAAAAATATCAATTAATTAAAACATTGAACAAACAACTTATGCATAGTGAATTCAACATATACAATTTTTTAACACGGGACCCACCAGTGGGTCCCATCGCATTACAAGAAAAACATTATCTTCAGATGTGACTGTTTTTCTTACCTAATCAAGCTGTAACATATGAGAACAAAACTCTGACAACCTCACTCCATGCTATCTCAGATGCAACTGAAGTTATCATACATATACCACTGTCGCAACAGGAGAATAGCATCGATATTGGCCGTCACCGTACACGTAACACAGTGGTGACCCACCAGTGGGTCACATTGCAGGAAACGTGTTAATCCATTTTTTTCGTAACTGGACCCATTGCTTACTGAGGTTCTACTGTAAATGCGTTTTTGGGGGTGTCCTGAATAGCCCTGGGGGGGGGGGTGTCTCAAGCAGCCCCATCGTGCGGAAATGGCCGCCATTTTTTTGGAATGAGATAGAACAATTCCATCAATTACGTTTTCAAGCTGACACCTGGGTGCATCTTTTATGTAAGTAAAATTTTTTAATAGGGCGAATATTTTTTTGGCTGCAGACCTTAGCAGAAGTATCTTTTCAAAATAGCGTTTTTCACCATTTTTTCAGGAATTTTTCAAAGCTAGTAAATGTAGTATTTTTTGACTTCCTTTATACTACATAGGTAGGAAAAATGTTGACGTTTACGCCACTATATTTAGTTTTGCAATATTCTAATTAGTTTTGCTACTATAACAGTTTTACGCCATGTCGGAGGACTGTCCCGAGTAGCCCCGCCAGTCCCGAGTAGCCCCGGTTGACGGTACCTATACTTGATAGCTATGAATGCCTTATTCGCAAATCTTGCAGAAGCCACCTGTGTGGGAGTCTGGGAGACTCCTAAAAGCCTATACCTCTACCTGCAGTCTATTTCACCCATTTTTCTAGCCCTCGCCTAATTTATCAGAAAAAAGTGGCTGATTTTTACCTAATATTCTTTGAAAATTCTGTCCTCTATTCTGGATTTGATACAATGTGAATGCAGGCAAAGAATATGTCTGCTTTGTTATTGGCAAACAAGATACTTTTTTTTACCTACTTTTAATATCCCATGATTTTTTAACCATGTGGCAATGCAGAAACTTCTTAGATTCTTCATTTTTGTGTTGCATGAGTAATGTATCATGGATACCATCTTTATTATATATAGACATTGAATATTATCTTGAACTAGATCAGGGAATTATAAATGAACTGGTTTCTGAAATATCTTATTTGCTACTACATGCCATGAATGGAGCTTTCCTGTGTATTTGAAACTGAAATTCCCACTAGATGAAGCATCTCTTATCTAATTGTAAATTAAAGTGCTCAATTGGACTGCAAGATTCTTAAGGTATTGAAAATGTCCTTTAGAGCTGCCAAAATTTAGTATTGAGTAAAAAAAAATTCTAGTCTTGTCAGTGCAGCAACTAGCTGTCAATTCAAGTGAAGTCAATCTTTTGGAATTGAAGTTAACAAATTAAGTAAAATTTTTAAAGTAGTCTACGTTTCTTTCTGTATAATTGAATGTGAAATAAACTTTCAGGAATGGGCCTTGGACGCCAGAATGATGGCATATCTGAACCAATACACATCAGGCGCAGATCAGATAAACTTGGCATTGGACATGATGCTGGAGAAAATTTCTCACACTGGTGGGATAATGCATACAACCAAGCAGTTGGTAACCTCAAAGTAGTAACGTCAAAGGTAAGTGACATTAGTATCTTGATAGTAATCATTAGTAGGAGCAGCTGAAAGACAATAAGATGGCTTTTTAAGATGTATACAATGTGGCCTTTTTCTGTAATGCTGCTGAACTAGGGTGTAGATGTGCATTTTTTTCTTCCAAGTTGAGATATCACATCACTAGTCCAAACTGAAACATCAGACAGAAGTCACCTGTGATTAAAATAAAAATCCTCATAGACAATTTCACCCATTCCTTTGGCCCTTGCCTGAGTTCTTTGATAACAAGTTTAAGAAATAATAATTTTTTACTCACAATTATCAAATTATCCTGTGAAATGGAGGTTTTTCCAACATTTCTAAACAAATTTGCCAGTTATTCCCTTCTGGTCAAGAGGAATTAAATTCAATGAGATACCTACATAGGTATTCTTCAAATCAAAAATAGTTTTGTAAATTAAGCTGTGCAGTTTTTGTCAGAATGAGGAAAGTATAAAAAACCATTTATTTTTGTTGAATCTAACATAAAATAATTAATCTAATTCAGTAATTTGTCGAATTGGTTCAGGTAGGTAATTACCGTATTTAAATTGTTTTACTTGATAATTAATTGATAAGATGTATTGCTAACTTTCATGATGATTGGAAGAATATGTTGAGAATTTCTTGAAGGCTTTCATGTTTTTAGCTGCTTGGAAAAATCCATTTTGCACTACACAAGTATAAATAATAGCCTGCAAAGCTGGCTCTATGAATATTGAATAAAACAACATAGCTGATCTGATTGCTGAATAGAAATCGACTTCATATTTAATATTGCAGAGAACATGTTTAAAATTCATAGAAATACATGTTAACTCTTTAGCGGTCAAGCATCATAATGTGAAGAAATTCAATTTTGTGAAACCTATAAAGGAATACACACAACTGAAACATAATTACTCCTATGAATTTGCATAAATTTTTCATGTTGAATGAGTAAATTGGCATTGAAAAATCCATTAAATGCAATCACTGTGCTAAAAAAATGTTTTATATCTAATATAAATGTAAACTTTCAAATGTAAAGAGTAACCACGTATCTAGCCTCAATTTGATTGAATTTCATTGAGTTACTTCAGTCAATTGAATTGATATTGCTACTTCCATTTATTGAAAATATGCAAAAGATCATCAATTTCACTGTTCGAGTCAAAACTTTCATATAAAAGCTGATATTTTAATTCTTGGGCTCAGTAGGAGGTGATGCTATCTATGTATGGAACGATGGGCACATAATTCGCCATAGGCATGATAACGTAGCCTCAAACAAAAACCGCAGGCTGTGGTGGGTCTCTTTGGGACGCGATATTAAGAGATAATCTATGGTAACTTGCCTGCTAAAGTGTTGATGAATAATGTATACAAAAAAGTAATTTAAGTGATGCGACTAACGCTAGTGTTCATTTTAAGTTAAACTTATTCTGAGCAAACATTGCTTGTTATAGGTATATATATTTGTCTGACTTTCAAAACGTTCAAAGAACTCATTCCTAAACTTTTTGATACACTTTTTTATCTCTGTTTTTTGCATTAATTGATGAGAGATGAATTGTGAAAACATTTAAATGAGAAATGAAGCATAATAAGCATAATTGATCAATAAAAAGAACTGAAGTAAACATTTATTAACCAAGATCTGTGCCAAAGATTTGGTGGGAGATATAAATGTGTGAAATCGATAAATTTGCATCTTGTCAAATCTCATAAAGGAAAAAAATTTTTTTTTGCTATACTTGGAAGAGCTTTTTGTCTACCATGAATAAAATAGATCGTAACCTGATGGGTATGTTATTAAATATTTGCACTTTTTTCATTTTTGCAGAATGGAAGCGTGGAAGTAAAGAGTTACAAAGGCAGTTGCACAAGTGAAATGAAGCCAAACCTCTTCAGTAGATCATTACTGTATGACAATTTCAATCGGGTAATTGAATAGATTATGTTATTTTATCTATGTGATATACTAGGCTTTTTACACCCCATAAATCTCATCAGTCCATGATAATTGATTTTGATCCATTTTATGCCAATTCAGAATATGTTTATAACATTCTTTTATTTCAAATCTTTATTGTCCTTTGATGTATATACTATACTTCTGTTTTTAGAAATTATTCTCGGGCATTTACGTCTAGTCTCAAAAAAATATTTTAAATTCATCCCAACTCAAGGCAGGAACCTTAATGGGTACTACCAATCATTCGGATACTTCGGACTCTGATAGTGATGAAGACCAAGCTAGTGCCAGCCAAGCTGTTGACATCTCCACCGGTAATGGATTGCTGCTCGACCTGTCAGATGACCAGCTCTTGAAACTCTGCGGTGGCGCCACGGCTCATAAGTAAATTCCCTTGCATGTAATGTGCCATTAATCTAACATTAAATCTGTTCCGTTTAACCGTGCCTTAGTCGTATTACAATACTTTGGATCTGAAAAAGTAATCATGAAATAGAAAAAAATAAACTCGAAAAGAATTTATTCATGCTTCTGTGTATGTCAAAACATAATTTTTATTTTCGTTCATTACACTTTGTTCTGCTTTGTTTTTATGTAACCCAAATATAAGTAAAACCATTTTCATATATTGTTTATTGAAGTCGGCGGGCGTCAAATCATAGATGATTTTATTTCCAGAGGAGCCCGTCACGGAATACGCATGACCGGCAAGATGAAGCGGCTTGAGGAAATGGCGGCCAACGACGCGGCGCTCGTGGCTCAGTGGAAGCTTAAGGAGGAAGGACGGCAGGCTGCCAAGACACCCATCACAGAGCTGCCTACAATGCCAACGAAGCTCTGGAAAAATCGCTCTAGCACCTCCTCGAAAACAGTTATTGGTTACACCTACGACGATGAGACGCAAAGTCAAGTATCTGCATTTCCAACATCCAATCCTGACTCTTCACCTCTGGTTGATGTTGATTCCACTATAAAGAAGAAGAAGAAATTAAAAGAGAAAATTATTCCTGAATGTGTCCCTGATGAAGCAAGTGTCATTGAAAATGAGAAATTAAGCCTGGAAAATATCCCGATATTGTTGCAGAACAATGAAGAGTTGAGCAGAAATTTAGTGAAAAAGAAAAGAAAGAGTGATAGGAGATCTGAACAGATCAGTGAAAGTACCCTGAAAATTGATACTTACAAAGAGCCTCTATGCAATGAAGAAGTCAGACCGAAGAAAAAGCGTAAGTTATCAAAGAAGACTGGAAGTGTAACTTGTGAAGAAAACTGTAATGAGCGAGAGATGATTTACGATGAAGACAGGAAGAAATTGAAAAAGAAAAAGACGAAAGGCAACCCGTTAAGTGCATGAGTATGCTGTAATAGATAAATCTTTAAACCTTGCATTTAATTTTTCCTCATTATTAACTGATACACTCGACTCATCATCAACCGGAATTGAAGTTCATTGTACTCGGGAAAACATTTATTGTCGTAGATCGTACTCAGATGATCATTGCCAATAGTCACGTTGTGAACGAGGTCGATATTGATACATTCTTACATATGAAGATATCTAAGTACCTATACATATTCTATAAATATTTGAAGCTGGTCAACACTGGACGTTTACAATGCTCGGAAAAATTGATATTGAAACAATCACGTGAAATTAATTACACAACTCCAGGCCTGTGCTCGAAGCACATTTGGTTCAAATAAAATATTTCATTCCCTAAGGCAAAAAATTAGACATTGAAGACTACGAAAAAAAGACTACCTACCTGAAATAGATTGGTTGCGAACATGAGTTCCGTGGAAAAATTCCACACTAGGAATATAAACTGGTACCGTATTCTTGCAAACAATGGCTTATCGAGGCAACATTTGTATCTTAGCAGACATAGTTAACATGTTATATTCATTATTATTATTCGGACGCGGAAAATGGGAGCTTAAACTATAAACATAATTTTTCCGACATATATTTATTTCGTGAATATTTTTAAATTGATCACGAAGCACTAATCTGCTTGCGAGTTAGCAATTTAGGACTACAACTTAGCAAAGCAAGGCACTATTGACATCTCTTATGAGCTAACGGAAACGAGCACACTCGTACAAGAGGTCGCTTACAAGAGACCTTGGCCACTCGCACGAGAGAGACAGAGAAGAAAAAGGAAAGAAATCTTGCCTTCATAACAACTTAGACCTGCAGTCAGATACCGCGAGCTCTGTGGTGGGGCGCTCAGGAACAATGCCCCTGGGGACGCGAAATCCAACAGGACTTCTGACGAGCACAGACACGCGTCAGAAGTCCCTCGTGAGATGGAGATACGTCGGCAGCGCGCACAAGAGAAAGCTCAGAAAAAAATGCCTAGACTAGAGGAACGCGCGACATTTAAGACTCGTGCTGACCAAATACACGAGCAAGAAGTGCATCTCGAGGAGATATTTTGATGAAAAAACTTCAGACAAGTTTAATAATTAATTACTCCTCAATTATTATCAGCATAGGAAACTATCTGCAACACGTTGATGATGTATTTATACAAATTATTACTGAAATAAATACATCGACACGCTAAATAAAATTATGAGATTCACACTAATCTCCTTTCAATATCATCACAAACAGAAATTACCATATAATAGCCCGCCCATATTGCTTAACTAACTCTCATAACCTAATTGATTATATTTATGGCAGCTAACATTAAAAATTCATTTAGCAATCAATTGTAAGAACAGTGAGGAATGAAATGTCACAGCCAAAGCTTTTTCCACCATCCAATGCATATCTATTAATCTATTGAGGTAAACATGCACCTCAACATATCTTGAAACAACACACAAATGAATTCTTAGACGATGAGCCACACCCACAGCATGCAGAATACTCAATTCTTTTTTTACACAATCAATTCTTTCACAGACTTTCGAGTCAAGTAAGCAAATCGCACCCTCCAATCACCAGCTAACTTGGTATAAAAACAAGGGCCCAACTATAATACTTTTATCTAATATTATGCGCTACATAATGAATACATCTCAATTGCACTTCAATGTTCCTGATTTGCTATTTTGCAGTCAATTGTCTACATTACCTATGCATAGCATTTGGACTTGACGGTTATCTCAAAATAATTATAATTCGTCTTTGTTCATCGATTTTGTGGCTTGGTTGACTTTTTCTACTATACGATTTCGATGGGGTTTCTCCTCGTAATTCCCCACTAACCACTTCTTGTAAACCTTCACGGGATCGATCATCCAGAACCCATGGAAACTGATAGGGTTGGATCCGTTCAAGCGGCCTGCAGCATAACTCGAAGGAGTGGCCTGAAAAAAATAATAGAATGCGAAACATAGGATATCTTAATGGCTTTAAGTAAAAAAAAGCGTTTAATATATTTTACAGTTGAAATGAATGCAGAAATGTGAGCGGGAAAAAAACGTTTCCAATAGAATAGGACTAATGCACATAGGATTGAAATTATTAGGAAATAAAGCAGTATAGAAGCCCAGGCAAGTGTCAGTTAATAAGCAATCAGATCTTCCACAATATCGGAACCAATCATTTGCGTCAATAATAATCTGATTATTAACAAGCCGTATGCAAGTAAAATTTGTGATGTGTTGATAGAATAATAAAAGTTTCATCGAAATTATAGCAAAACTACTCATAGGAAGTCATTCACGTCACCCATGCATACGGTGCAAATTCTTTATGTGTTGAATTTTGTGGCATGTGAAAATTCTTTAGGTGTTGGATTTTGTGGTATGATATATAGTGTACATCAACTTTGACAGTCCACTCTTACTTAATGGAATTTTTCAGGCATTTAATTCTATAGTATGGATATTTTTCCGCTATCACTGTTCTACTCGCATCTCACATGCTAAAATTACATAATGTATTAAAATATGGGCTTAGTTTTGCAGCATTTTTTAGGCCACTATGCACTCACCTGATGCAAGTCCCTGAGGTGCACCAAGCTATGGCCCAGTCTATGGAGGCACATGCCGAGCAGCATGTCGTCAGGCTCGTCTGGTACACGACACGAGCACCACGAGGACTCCATAAGTAACTCCACCTGCATCATTTACAATGTCAACTAAAATATTTTTCTGCAAAAAGTATGACTCTGATTAGATTACGTTATAGAATGCACCTGCATCAAATACAATTTCAAACGAAAATATTTATGCAAAAAGTATGACTCTGATTAGGTTATGTTATAGAATGCAAAGAATATTTACGAACAGCACACCATAGGTCTGGAGAAGACGATGCCACTGCCACCAGTGGGATAAGGAACGAGAAGATGAGGTCCTGCTCGATAGCCATACATCTCCCCCAGCACCACAGCCTCCTCGGGTGAATAGCATGACAACGTCTTCAGTAGTCGCGGCATACTGAGAAAAATTAGATCAGTACTAACTGCGGTGAGCGAGAGAGAGACAGAGCGCATTTTCTCGTGCATAAATCAGTTCTCTATAATCCAATCTAAAACTATGATCTAAATCACGATAAGTTTTATAAAGTATTCTTAAAATCGACGAAAACGTGAAGTCACTGACGGTCGGACGGACATCACGAGCTCAATAGCGCATTTTTTCCATAAATGAGAAAAAGCGCTAATAACGACAGACATGTAAAAAAATAAGATGCAATAATAAACACCCGTCAATGGAGGAATCTTGACAAGAAGTATTTTTAATAAAGGCGGTAAATAAATAGCACTAAGTTCAACACACTGTAAAAAAGTTGAATCTATGGAAAACTTCGAAATAGAGTATGTTTTCGTGCCGCATCCATAACGAGTAAGAACAGAATGATACCGTACCACTTCGAACACAAATTTATGAACAAAAAACGTAACGTAATGTGATGAACATAATCGTAAAATTCGTCTACGTTCATGATAACTCAATTATATCCAAATCAATGATACACTGTATTCCACATTCATCAATCCTAAACATTCATCTTCAGCGAGCTATCTTCGAAACAAAACTTTCTAAACGTGCATCAACCGAAAGCCTTTGCTGAGGCCTTGAGTATAATTGTTTTACCTGACAAGGATATCATCAACCAATAGCATTTGCTAATCTCTTGAGTATCTTTGTTTCCCCACTTCGAGGGTAGGTATCATCATCAACAGCAGCGTTTCCTGATGCCTTGAGTATCATTTACCTGACGAGGGTATCATCATCAACCAGCAGCATCTGCTGATGCCTCGAGTATCATTCACCTGACGATGGTATCATCATCAACCAGCATCATCTGCTGATGCCTCGAGTATCATTCACCTGACGAGGGTATCATCATCAACTAGAAGCAACCACTGCCAGGGCTGCGGGCGCTGCAGGGAGAGACGCAGAATAACGAGCGTCTTGGCGCAGTGGCCGCGCTCTGTGTTAGCCACGCCGGTCGATATCGTCCCGTAAGTGTCGTCTGAAGTAAAACAATCGTGTCAGTAGAGACGTTACATAGACAAGAAGGTAAATAATTGTCCTTGTTTCAAAAATTTATTTGGTCAATATTCAAATAAAAGGACCTAAATTTCATGTACTCATAAGATAAAATCACAATGAGCACCACTGCAGTATTAAAAATGAGCACCACTGCAGTAATGAAAAGTTCTTATTGCTTATCTCGAATTCAACTGGTATTTGTAGTCCAGTGAATATGGGTTATACAGATAAATTTGGGTAAGATTTTAATAAAATTTTAGCTCTATAAAATACGCATTATTAGTCGGTTTTGGCATTTATTAGGATGCGATTACAATGTGATAAGAACTACATTGAAAGAGATTTCGGAGAAGCATTCATAAAGTCAATTCATGCAGAGCTATTGCCAGGCACGAGTCCACACATTCCCATAATGTTCTGTAATTAGAGTTCATATGGATTTATTTGCAAAAATATTGTTGTGCTGCTTGTTTATTTAAGCTAGCTGGTTATTCTTGTAGGGCAGACTATCTCCTTCCTCACGTCTTAAATAGGTATACCAGATGTTTTGTCGCTTCTAGTTAGATTATTCAAGAGCCTTAAAAATTTCGCACATTCTAACCGCACCAAAGATAAAATTTTCACAATCAATATCAGCATAGTTGGTGACATAAAACAAATATGGCACCAGTGATGTCGCTGTAGAGCCTGAACGACGGAGCGTTGGTGAGCCAGGTGCGACGTAACACAGGCAGACGAGTCTTGTGGTTACCACTGTACGTCTTCACCGCCACGTGAACGTCAGAGTTTGAATGAGCACCTGCAAAATGGAACAATTTTCAGGGTTCGAGGGAACATTTGAACAACATAGATTGGGTTTAGTCGTTTTAACCCTTTAGTGGGAAGCATTGAAAAATCAAAAAATTAAAATTTTAGAAACCATATCATGAAAGCAAGAAGTATTATACAAAATAATTTTCGTATGTATTTTTGCAAATTTTGCCTGTTGAAGGTTTAAATCGCACTTGAAGAATTCATTAAATGCGGTCACTACACACAATTTTCCTTTATAATTTAAATTCAGTTTATGCAAATGAAAAATTAGAAACAACAATTTAATTAAATTATATTTAATCAAGTTACCTGAAATAAATAAGTCTATATTGATACTTCCACCTTTTGAAAAAAAAGGGCGCAAAGAGCGTCAATTCTATTGGCCGAGTCAAAACCTTCATTTAAATGCTCATATTTTAATTTGTGGACTTTGCAGCTGGTGATGCTATAGATAGAACGGTGGTCAGATAATTAGGGATTGACTGAGGCATTATAAGGACGCCTCAAAAACAAACAGGAAGCCGTGATGGGGCTTTGTGTGAGGCGATTTCAAGTGATCATATGTGGTAACTTACCGGTGAAAGGGGTTAAAACAATTTTTTAGCACTGTTGACAATAATAATTGTAAGAAATATTAACAAAGAGTATTAGCTTGATGAAATAGATTATTTTATCTTATATGGTAGTAATTTAAGAATAACAAAACATTTTAAACAATAGTAGCTGAAATGCAATTTAAAATTAATTATAAACTGAGAATCTCTAGTTTTTGGATGAGGCACAAGGAAATTGGGATAAATCGCCACCCACGTTCAGACACACTGCAGACGCGAGGCTCGTGAGCAACAACAGCACAGTCTTTATTGAGAGTTGGATCTGCAATTCTTCCCTCAACACAAAACTTCTCGCTGTGCTCCAAGACTACGTCGCAGTTCTCCACCAGCCATCTGGCAAACTCGTAGCCTGTGTCAATGACAAACTGGTTTGCTGCAGCAATGGCAACTGGGTCGTATTTCTTTGCAGCTCTGAAAAAGAATATAAACCGTAAACAAATGATTCAACAACTTTCAACAGACATTCAGTATTTGGAAATTTTGGAAATGACCGGTAATAAATATAAATAAAACTAATTCAGAAAATTACTGTGATTATCACATGATTTTTTTTGCCTCATCATGAAATCCACATTCTAAATTTTAAATGAAAAAAATATTCAAGCATGAAATTAAAAATTTTTATATGAAAAAGAGAACAATGAAAATTTTGTAAGTATCATGAATTGATTGCCTTGAAAAAGCTATAAATATTCAAATGAAAAAGTTAAGATCAAAAGTTTGGCAATGAAATAGATGCCAAACATGCACAGAAATCCTTAGGCAATCTTCAGATATGCAATAGCATAAATTTACATCAGAATGATTTAGCAATCAATCAGTTTTTTGTTTAAAATCACTACGGTAGTTTCTAAATTATAGGTTTTTCCTAAAAATTTAAAATTCAGCCACTATTGCTGAAGGATATTATAATTTTACAGTAGGTGTTATGGATTAAAATAAAATGGTCTTGATTTGTGGATTGAGTTGATGAATACTAATCAGAAAAGAATTGAATTACATTTTGAAGCAATGTTTCTCTTTTATATCAGTCATACCGTCTTATTGCATCACCATTCAGAAGAAACCCAGCTCTGACATCAGGATAATTTGGTAAAGCACTAGGAGCTGCGTAGTGATGAATCACACTGCTCTCATCATCTCGCAGGCTACGACCAACAAAAGATGATTTCTTGCTCTGGAAAATTAAACTTAATCAGAGGCATTCTTATCTGCCAAAACAAAGATGCCTGATAATATACGTACCTACTCAGAAGTCTATACCATTAATAACGACCATTAAAAGACAAATGAATTATTATTAGAACACAAATTTACCCAAATTATTAGTAGACCACATTTATAAGCATGTGTAATACAACTTACTACTTCTAACATGGAAACCAAGTTGCTGATGTTAAGCGACACAAATTCATTGATGAATAAAAACCAGTCAGCATCAGATCTCTCATACCTGCAAAGAGAAAAAACCAGGAACTGTACCAAAGCCACTTTATATATTATTAATAATAATTCCATGATTTCTAAAAGAGGCAGTAATTGAATGGCTACAGATACTGTGCCTAGATAACTAATTTATCAAGGAAATGTAGAATTTTGTCCAACATACTCTTCCAATAAAGGCAGTAATGTCCAATACGGCTGATGAGGCAGAGTAGTTGATCCAACTTGTACAGTAACTGACTGTAAGAGAAGATAAATATGTGATGGACAGTAGGTATGAATGCATAAAGTTGATCAAATAAATTAAGGATGAATTGCCATTTCTTGCTCAAAAATCTAATAGAACCAATAAAAGCCGCAAAAAAGGGACTGTTACAGCATGATATATCACAAGCTCTAGAAACAAAATTATTGAAAAGTAACACGAGTTTTGGTATAAGTATAACAATTGCATGCTATGGTAAATCCTGCAATTTCTAAATCTCTTTTGCCCAAAGCCGTTGAAAATTACTATGGAGCTCCTATTTAATCTATAAGCTCAAAGTTACTCACCCAATTAAGAATTTCCTTTGCCTGAAGTTCAACCTGCTTAACCAAATTGAAAGCCTTTTTTTCATGAAGTTTCTGTCGTTCATTCAATACAGATATGTGTAGATGTTTGACCAAAGATGATCCATTTGCCAGGGATTGCAGCTCTCCTGGATCACCTCAAACAAAAAAAGACCAAGGTTACTTCATATAATTTTAATCATCACTTAACATTAACATTTTAGTTTACATCACATTATAAGTGAATATTTTCCATGCATAGGATCTATTGAGTACCTATTTAAAATTAATTTTGACCAAAATTTTAATAAATTGTGATGATTAAATACTATTTAAAGAATGACCCTATATATCATACAGAGCAATAACAGATTCCACTTTCTCAAAACAGTTACCATTTGTTGTATTGTACAATTGCCCCATAAAAATGAAAAGCTAATAAGATCTGACAAGAAAGTTTTGGTCCAACTCCATTTCACTAGTAGATCATTCCTAAGAGATTTTAGCCACTAAAGTAGCATTGATCTAATGACCCAGCTGAATTAAAACCTACTAATCTAAATGTTACAAAATCTTGCAATTGACCAGTAAGATTTAAAATTACCAGAAAGTATGAGATATTGGAGAAACAAGATTTTATTTAAGATCTCTGATCTTCAAGTGGACTCCATGACTTTGATAGGACCATGAAAATGACTAAAGTTATTCTCCTAGTTCACCAATAGAAGATACCTAATCATTTGGAAATCAGAATTTTATAACATTTCTTAGTCTTACAAGTGTAGTTAAAAATCTTATGGACTTGCCTTTTATACTCTGTAGGGTCATACAGAAATTAACTGTGACCAGAAAAAGAATTTTCAAAAAACACTGAAACATTTTGTCATCTGAAATAATAACTAATATATATTTTCTGAAATAAATTATTGACAGGTATAATTTAGTAATTGGATACAAAAATTATTTTTACTGTGATGTTTTTATACAGATACAATTTTAATGGGATTTGGGCTTTGAGTGTGATGATAAAAAAAAACATCCAGTGTAAAGCCTTTTTAGGGCTTGCTACCATGAGACCTGCTTTCATTAAATGTTGGTGTGGAGAGAAAGATGAAAGCAAAGACAGAGTAGAGAGATACCATAACCCTACTGTCAAATGGGGTATAAAGAGGGACGGTTTTGAGCGTTTTTTGTTAATAACCTCTTACCATGAAAAATTTCATAAACAAGTTTAGGCTCATTTTATAGCTCTTTGCAAGGGCTATCAAATGGCATCTTCAAAAAATTCCATATGCTATTCGCAAGGTGCCAGACACAAAATAAAACTGTCCCTAATTACGTATCCCTGGGAATGAGATAATCCGGGACACTTCAAATAAAACTCAATTTAAAAATGTTTGAAGCATGCAGAGTGTACTGTCAAACAGGGTAAAAAGGAATGGGCGGGGTAATAAGGGACAGTCCTCCAACATTTTGTAGAAATGTTGTAGCAGCTAAACTAATTAAAATATTGCAAAACTAAACATTTTTGGGTAAATAATTATTAACAACTCTATTCATTAGCTTTGTAAAGTTAGAATGGTGCAAGGTAACAAGCTAAATATTGACCATTTAACTGGCTTCAATATACAAAAACACTTCAGGAATGCAGATCTTCTAAACATTGAAGAGTCACACAACAGATAGGTAGCTGATATGTGCACATCTATTGATAGTGCTGTGCACAGTGCACAGCTCTATCAATAGATATACTAGTTTTACTATGTCCTATAAATCTACCAGACACTACCCTCTATACACACCAACGTATAGTAGTGACTGAGTGACTGACTGCACTGTTCCCATTTAATTTAGACCAATAAACCAAAACTAAACATAAACTGAACGATAACTAAACAAACCTCAAAAGACTTGAAATGAGACTTATGTTATGAGAAAAGCTAACACTGTTTGAAATAAACATGTGCACAATTCAAACATTTTATTTCCATTCACTGCATTTAATTATATATAGTTTTATAATAGTAATTGTTTTGTTTCTAGTTATAAATTCACATACTTAAAGATTGAAATTAAATTAGAATACCCACTTGCATTAGGGAGGAAAATCTTTCTAATTGCCTAAAAGGTCAATACAATCTCAACCTCTCAATATACAGGGTGGGGTAGAACCGAATGAGCAGTTTTAAGGCAAAATAAAAGAGTAATGGAGGTACATAAAGAAGAAAGTTTATTTTCCTAGAGTTTAGCATAGCATACCATTTAGAATACTCATGTTTTGAAAACAATATCTGGAAAATGAGGGCCGTTAGCTGCAACACACTGTTGGAGTTGTTCTCAGAGGAGGGAGTAACTGTCACTGTGAATTCCGAATGCCATGCTGAAATGTTGCACAATTTCTTGCAGCTCATGATGGAAAACATTGTTGAAAATGAAGCATTGGGAGACATGTGGTTCCAGCAGGATGGGGCTACAGCTCACACAGCCCGAATGTCACTCAATGTTTTGAAACGCACGTTTCCCGGAGGTCTGGTGTCTCTGAGGGGTGATTTATAGTGGCGTGCGAGGTCACCTGATTTGAGCATTTGCGATTTCTTTCTTTGGGGACATCTAAAATTAAGGGTGTTCAGAAGTCACCCTGACACTGTACTACAGTTAAGGGAACGGATTATTGCAGCAGAGGTTATGGCCATGCCTTGCCATATGTGTGAACTTGCTGTAAGAAACTACCAAGAACGACTCCAACAGTGTGATGCAGCTAACAGACACCATCTTCCTGATATTGTTTTCAAAACATAAGTACCATCAACCGGGGCTACTTGGGACGGGCAGGGTAACTCGGGAGTCGGGACAGTTCTCCGACATGGCATAAAACTTTTTTAGTAGCAAAACTAATTGGAATATAGCAAAACTAAATATAGTGGCGTAAACATCAACATTTTTCCTATCTATGTAGTACCGTAAAATGGGGTAACTTAGACCGGCGGGGTAACTTAGACCACTTTTTATTTTTTTAACAAAAACCCCCACAACTCAAAAACTATTTGACATAGAAAAATTTTGTNCTAGATGTGTATAAGAGACAGCCTCGGGACACCCCCAAAAATGCATTTACAGTAGAACCTCATTAGCAAAGGCTCCAGTTAAGAAAAAAATTGATTAAAAACAAAGAATATTGATTACATTTACCTTGTTCAGCGAAAAAAACTTCACTTATGGAAAAATTAGTGCATCATCGGTCATCACAAAATTGTGCATAGAATTTCATATATAGAATTGTGCACCAGGCATCATCGAATGAAAAGTAATTGACCTAAACTATGATTTATTTCTCCAAAACATATGATGGTTGTCACTGGAACATTCCTTTCTGTTTCAGGTATGTCTTTCACAATCTTTTTTTATAGTAAATTCACTTAACCCAATTAAAATGGTGTGAAATTACAAGCTGTCCTGTAAGCTTACAGATACAGAAAAAATGCTATAAGGCTGCTGATATGAAGCTTGTAGTGGACAAGATTGTTGTAAATGCTCACTGGCATGTTCATGGATACGGTAATATTGCATCAATAATACGGTAATTAATGTATATGGTAATATCATATCAATAAAGGAAAAACAAGTAAAAATCACAGAAAATGTCATTTATTCTACCTCTACATCATCTACAATGAAAGAGGAGGACTTCAGAGTACCGTCAACCGGGGCTACTCGGGACAGATTTGATCGTTTTTTTGTTAATAACTGTTAATAACTTCTTACGATGAAACATTTCATAAACAAATTTAGGCTCATTTTATAGCTCTTTGCAAGGGCTATTGAATGGCATTGTCAAAAAATTCCATATGCTATTCGTAAGGTGCCAGACGCAAAATAAAGATTGTCCCGAGTAGCCCCGTTGGTCGGGGCTACTCAGGACCTTGGGAATAAAACTTCATTTCAAAACATTTGAAGCATGCAGATTGCAGAGCGTACTCATCCATTACTAACAGTACTCTGAAGTCCTCCTCTTTCATTGTAGATGATGTAGAGGTAGAATAAATGACATTTCTGTGATTTTTACTTGTTTTTCCCTTATTTATATTATATTGCCATATACCGTCAACTGGGGCTACTCGGGACAAGCGGGGCTACTCGGGACAGGCCTCCGACACGTCGTAAAACTGTTGTAGTAGCGAAACTAATTGGAATATTGCCAAACTAAAAATAGTGGCGTAAACGTCAACATTTTTCCTATCTATGTCGTATAAAGGAAGTCGAAAAATACTACATTTACTTGCTTTGAAAAATTCCTGAAAAAAATGGTGATAAACTATATTTTGTAAAGTTACAACTGCTAAGGTATGTAGCAGAAAAAATATTGGCCGTATCAAAAAAATATTACTTACATAAAAGTTGCACCCAGGTGTCGGCTTGAAAACGTAATTGACAGAATTTGCCTATCTCATTCCAAAAAGAAATGGCAGCCATTTCCGCACGGCGGGGCTACTCGGGACACCCCCCCGGGGCTATTAGGGACACCCCCAAAAACGCATTTACGGTAGAACCTCAGTTAGCAAAGGCTCCAGTTAGGAACAAATTGATTAAAAACAAAGAATATTGATTACATTTACCTCACTGAGCGAAAAAAAGCTCACTTATCATCACACAAATTACAAGCCGTCCTGTATGCTTACAGATACAGAAAAAAATGCTATAAGGCTGCCCATATGAAGCTTGCAGTGAACAAGGTNGGGGTGTCCCGAGTAGCCCCGCCGTGCGGAAATGGCTGCCATTTCTTTTTGGAATGAGATAGGCAAATTCTGTTAATTACGTTTTCAAGCCAAAACCCGGGTGCAACTCTTACATAAGTCAAATTTCTTAATACGGTGAATATTTTTTGCTACATACCTTAGCAGTTGTAACTTTACAAAATAGTTTTTTACCATTTTTTTCAGGAATTTTTCAAAGCAAGTAAATGTAGTATTTTTCAAATTCCTTTTTACTACATAGATAGGAAAAATGACATTTACGCCACTATTTTTAGTTTTGCAATATTCCAATTAGTTTCGCTACTACAACAGTTTTACGCCGCATCGGAGGCCTGTCCCGAGTAGCCCCGCTTGTCCCGAGTAGCCCCGGTTGACGGTACTGTTAGTGATGGATGAGTACCGTCAAACGGGGTAAAAAGGGACGGTTTTGAGCGTTTTTTGTTAATAACTTCGTATACCATGAAACATTTCAGAAACAGTTTAGGCTCATTTTATAGCTCTTTACAAGGGCTATCGAATGGCGTCTTCAAAAAAATTCCATATGCCATTTGTAAGGCGCTAGACACAATATAAAAGGCTCCTGAATTAATCATGAACTGGGGTAAAAAGGGACACTTGAAATAAAACTCAATTTCAAACATTTGAAGCATGCAGAGTGTACTCATCTATTACTAACAGTACTCTGAAGTCCTCCTCTTTCATTGTAGATGATGTAGATGTAAAATAAATGACATTTTCTATGATTTTTACTTGTTTTTCCTTAATGATATGATATTACAATATTCATTAATTACCATATTATTAATGTGATATAACTGTATCCATGGACAAGCCATTGAGCATTAACAAGAACCTTGTCCACTGCAAGCTTCATATCAGCAGCCATGTAGCATTTCTTCTGCATCTGTAACCAATTATCAAGTAATATCTCCCAAACTAATGAACTCTATGAAACTTGGAACATGTATTCATCAGAACCTAACAGTGATGTTTAACTCATACATTTTTTTAAATCTCACCTTCATTCGTGAGTTACGCTTATATTGCAAAACAGACCAAAATTCGCAGTGATCAAAGAATTTCTTTCAAACTATTGAATAGATTTGAACAAAATTTTGACTATAGGGTAAATGCGGTATATTCCATCACATTAAGGATGCATCGAGAAATGAAAAACTATAAAAAAATAACCGTATGCATTACTCAAGTTCTGTTTGCTTTATGTGACTCTCAAAACACCGCACTACGTGTCAGCAACAACGAAACGTCACAAAATGTTGCCATATTTATTTAAAAGCCTTTAGAATGGAAAACTACCAAATCCCTAAATTCCGTCACTGTGTGTGGCAATATTCAGCACGTGGTAAGGCGTATTCCGTCCGCGCTTCAAATTCTACTGATACGTAATGCCGTCATCCACGTGTTCGAATTCCGTTTGCTGTGTGAGCTGTATTGGAATACAACACGGCTTTGAATTAGAACACTAATGAATATTGAAAACTACTTAATTACGCTTTTAATTAACAACTATTAAGCTTTTAATTAAGCAAATTTTAATTTTCATACACAGCTTGGAACGATCTGTGTGTGTCCAATTCAAGTTGTGACGGAATTAGTTTTCATGTGTCTAAATCCATTTCTCAACTTAATCATCTATTAATTTATTTACCACTTGAAATCAGCAAATACAAGTATACTTAAAGGATTCCTAATATATTCACAGATGTATTTAAAAATCTCAAACCATAATATTCTTCCTATACAAACAGTTATTCACTATTTGGTAGAGCAATGTCAACTGTCAAATTCGACACATTTTTCGATGATCTCACTGGGCAGCGTGCATTGTCTCTCTTTGGATCTCAATATTTTCCCACTAGATGGCCAAGACCTAGTGTTTTGGCATTAGTTCGATGTGCAAATGTATGACATCACCATTTCAACCATCAATGAACGCATGGAACTAAAACAAAGCTTAATATAAAGGAAAAACTAGAGAGGTGATGGAATTACCCATGATGTCAGAATATACCGCGTTTACCCTACCAACTTCACTACCAAGTTTCATCAAGTTAATTAATTAGTTTGAGAGATATTCCTTGATCATTGAATTTGGAAATTGGCCTTGAGACCGGCTGCAAGTTTGGCCGCGCACCATGGTCAGGAAGATGTGCCAGGTGCGCGGGAATTTATTTTGTCATTTTAACGACCTGCGCGGTGCGCCGTACTATGCTGGTAAAAAAATGCGCCTTGCGCCGTACTTCTGAAAGCTAAAATAGTTCTACTATTTTAGTCGACAATATACGTGAGTATACTGACTATGCGAGTCAAACTGACAATAATAAAATGTAAGACATGTCCGGGTTACTTCTGACTCTTCCGCTTGTCGGATACGGAACGTACGGTAATCGTAAACTGCGGCTATTATACATACGAAATGTAAACAGACGGCGTTCAGTGTTGCCATATGACTTTGGAGAAAACTTCTTCTAAAATAAAGTTCTAGATTTCTCATTCACCAAATTTCTGTATCAAGAAAAATCATATACTAGCTATTATTGAAAGATAATTAAAGGCATACTGTACTGAGTAATGTGAGTATTACGTCTTTCCTCCACAAACTGCTCGTGCGCGGCAGCGCGACGTAGAATTGATGCCGGGATTGCCCAAACACATGTGCTAAGAGAATCCATTTTCATTACATTGCACCTACTCATTGGCGGTTAATTTGTCTGAGATGACAGAGATGTAAACCCAGGAAAGGCTAAAATACAGATCTGGCATCTGGGTGAGAAAACCATTGCTGGGTGTCATGTGCTGCACGTGTAACATGTTGTGTACAAATTGTCAAACAAACGTTCGAACTTCTGACATCGACTTCGGACTACCGCCCCTCTACAGGCTCTACTGCCCTCTTTTTTCTTACCGCCCCCCAAAATCTTTCCACCGCCCCTAGGGGGGCGATATCGCCCACTTTGGGAAGTTGGGAACCACTGGTACTGGCACTGCGATAGCCCTTGGCATTTGGCAAGGGCACCCGCACAGTCTTTCTACTCGTCCTGTCACTCCCGAGTCCCGACCCGAGAAAGGGTGATATTTTGAGACCAGAAAAAATATTACCACGGAAAAACTAAAGTGTACTGATATTTCACAAAAAGGCCTATATCAACTAAACAGCCCCATGTTTACCAGACGGGTCGTTTATTTTTCAAAGGCACGAAGCGGCGAATTTGCCCAGAAAAGGGCCCATTTGGTAGCATGTTTATGATGGTGGCAATAGATTTCCGGGTCCGCTGTTACAGAAAATAGTAAAATAATAACTGAATAGAAGTGTCGGCGTTGAAGAAATAGGCCCATGAACCAGCAAATTACAATAGAATATTTTTCCAAACGCATGAAATTGATTGTAAAATATTTGCATACCTCAAACACAGGGATTGAAAAATTTGCTTAACTTTGCATACATTTTGCTTCACGATTGGAATACCTCAATACGTTCATATGGATGTCGTTTGTGCGTATATATGTAAATGTTTTAGGGCCTAACATTGAAAGTTTTGAATGAACGAAACTGCGATTGGATTCAAATTCATACTTTTGATATCATTCCTATCACACGAAAAACGTTGTGCACGTCATGCTAGTTAGATAATTTTACTGCAATGAAATGGACATTATTGAGTTTCATGATTTATACTAAACCTATTTCTATATTTTTTATTGTATAACGCTTGAAAGAATGTTCTGAATTCCATTCAACTGAGTATAGTGCATTAAAATATAAAAATCTTAAATAGCAAGGAAAATAAAGCCACCCAAACACTGGAGACAATTAACATTTATTTCGATGAAATGTAGAATACTTACATAAAAAATTTTCTTGACATAGAATTATGATACATATCTTACAAAGAGCATCAGTTCACAACATGAGGTACTGATTAAACATTCAAATCAACTATTATGAATCATCTGAAAAGTACGCCATAGCTCACAAGGTAGGCGAGCAACGTAAGAATTATATCAAAAATAAAGGTAAAGACATAAGTTCTCAATGTTTATCACTCACAAAAGCAAGTCTGCAGGTGAATTTCGACATAATTATGGGCTAATTAATCTCGCATGCGGTCAGTAATCGATAAATTTCTTCAAGTATTTATTTCTTAAAAAATTAGTGAAAATTTCTTTTCCATGATAAAATTTAGTTTTTCCCAAAGTTACTTACAAGGAAAATATGGAAATCAAAGGTCACAAAAAAATCGATTGGAAATAGTGCTGAACAAATAACGCGCATTTAATAAAAACAAATGCGATAAATAGTTACAGAAAGAACCTTTCCATTTATAGAACTTGAAGGTCACTTATCTACATGAAATTTAAAACCAAATAGATTTGCAATTTAATTTAAAAATTGGTTGAACAATTAATTTTGAACCCTCGGCCGTTGTATTGACTCATTCACAGGCGCAATTAGACTCATGGCAGCGCTCATAAAAACCACGATTTGTTATTTTGAATAAATTGTTTAAAAAATGAAGGGATTAAAGATATTTGTGAGTGAATAATTTTGTTCTCATTTGTGTAACGGCTTAACTTGTTCATGACAATGATAACGTTCAAAATATGCTCCAAACTCATGTCGGCTAATGCACAACGGAATCTAATTTGTAAACCAATTTTCGAGGTCACAACAATCAGAATTTTTTTCGCATACATAACCATGAGCTCAAAGTACGCACAATTACTTACTTATATTACTTCGGTATTTTACAAATTTCAATCTCAAATGCACACTGACTTAACGTAAGACGCCTTCTTTAGGTTACATCACTTGTGAAAGAATTCAAATGGTTTTCAGAGGTAGGACTTTGGTAGAACCTATAAGATTCATGTCTATACGAGCACATAATCAGGTCGTATTTGCGGGAATTCCAAATCAGCTTTGTATAAATCTAATCAACAACCACTGAGAACCATCATGACCACAGACTTCAGGGAATTATAAAGATTAATAGATAATCATGCAAGCACATGGGTACGCAAAATGCACAACGACTGGAATTGACACAAGAAAATAATAATCGATTTGCACCATAGGAAAGACTTAAAATCTATGATAAATACTGAGCGATCGGGCGAGCATGGTAAATGATTAGGAAAGGAAAACGTCCGCTGATATCTTTTTCAGGCCCATGTGTAAAGCATCATTGATCGAATGGCTGTTGCGTTTTCTCCGAGAACTGAAAACTTTTGAGCATCCATCAACCGTGCATCGGAACATGTCCCTAAAGTGCCACTTTTCGTAGTGTGCCTTCAAATTATCACCATCCTCAAGCACTTCTGAGCAGAATTTGCATGGCATCTTTCCTTCGCTGTTCGGAGACGGTAAATCGTCTTCTAAACTGTACGATAATTGCTGAATTGCGTCATTGAGTTTTTCATTTGCCTCAAAGTTGTGCCGGCCGGAGACTTCTACGTGATTTGGCAATTCACTAGAACTGGAGACCCGAGCTGCTGAACTGGATGAAGAGGGAGAGAATGCTATTGCTGAGCTGTCGTTATTTAAACTAGCATCACCGGTAGGAGAATTCTTAGGCGAGGGTGTTCTAGACTTCTCACTACTTTTCCTCTGCGAACTTTTTGACGCAAGATGCGGTAGGAGATTGTGAAGAAAGAAAGGGGTTGCCGCAGATGGAGAATATGTCTGAGACGGTATCGTGTTACTACTAGAGACGCTATTTTGATAAATTGAATGGTTTTCAGAATTACCGAAAATTTTACTGGCTATGGACGAAGGCAGTCTTGATTTGAGAACCTCCAAGCCCTTGGGAAAAGCGTTGGGATCAGAGCACAGCCGAGAAATTAAATCATTATTCAAGAGAGGATTAAAGGGCATTCCAGGAGGCATGACCGGATAATTATTTTCGTGATTGGCTAGGCCTTTTTTATGCAACATTTCGTTTGCAGAGTGACGATCGCGCGATCGTTTCGTTGGGAATGATGCATAGCATCCTTCAACTGTACATTTATGGGCTAAGTTAAAGTGCGAAGATTGGTAATGGGACCGAAGAGCTGAGGCGCTCTGAAATTGTTTCAAACATGAAACACATGTGAGCGGGTCAGCCTCGTTGATCGGGATGTCGACGTTGGTGAGCACGCCATCACGCAAAAATAGGTTATTCTCAAGTTCTTCATTGGGCGGCGACTCAGAGCGCGAATTGGAATCCATGTTATTACTTTCGGATTTGGGACTGTTCGTTCGTTTATGGCTACGATTTATGTCCACACGCATGGCATCACTTTCATGAGCTTTATCGTGGAAATTTCCTCTGGATAAATCTTCTAGAAGTCGCAGGGAATTAGGCTGTTCTAAATTTGGATCAGAGGACAAGAGGGAACTTTTTTCTTCCGACTTTTCTTCGACGTTCTTGTTCAAGTTCTTAATTCCGTTTACGACGTCACTGTTCTCAAATTCTTCGTCATCGCTCATCGCATCAAGCTCTTTATCCTCGTTTTTATCTTCCTCCGAATCTTTTACATCTATATCATCCAAATCATCATCATTTTCATCGTCGTCATATTCGTCTGTAGATATCAAGTCATCATCTTCTAATCTGAAAGCGAATTTCGTTGGGTTTTGACTTTTTCGTTTTCGTTTATTCGATGATGGCGAAGTTGCAGATCCCTCTCCTTTCAAACTGTTAGCATCAACGCTCATGCTGTCTTCGTCCTCCAGGTCTTCGTTAAGCTCATTCTCTTCGTCAATTTTTGCGCGCTTCTTCTCGGCGTGATCAAAGTGATTTTTCGGATCCATCATCATAGATGAATCGTCTGGATATGAATACATTTGTCCATACTTCCAAGCTTCCTTTTGCAGATCAAAGCCATGACGGTGCATCTCGAACTGCTTTGCGAGCTCCTGAGGATTTCCTGAAGGTAAGAACGGAAGGTTCGGTAGAGCGCCTAGGCCCCCAAACTGGCCGGGAAACGCGGACAGTGGAGGGAACGCGGCATGAGGATGGAGACCTTGCAGCTGTGCTGGCATGGGGGGTCTCAGCGATATTGCTGGGTGAGTGCCCGAACTTCTGCCGTCGTGAGGAGAAATTTTTCTCCTAACATGCGGCGTGTGTAATTTTGGATTTGGGTTAGCTGAATGACGATTGCGAGATCTTCGAGAACTGAACATCATGTTACATCCGTCGACAGTACACTTATGCATTTCTCGAAGATGTACCGCAGAAAAGTGGATTTTTAGAGCACCTTTATCACAGAATGTTTTCATACAAACGTTGCACTGCACTCTCTTCTTGCCTGTCACAGGATTAATGAAAGTAGAGCCCATATTCATGGGATTCCATGACCGCTTAGGAGTAGGAGGACCGTTGCAGCTATTTTGGGCAGGTAAAGGCAGAGACGTTGACGCTGGAGTAGAACCGGGAGAAGTAGTAGAAAGATTTAACGCTGATGATTTTTCGTCATCATCATCGTCACTAAAATGCTCGACTGATATATCGTTTCGCGAGGACATCTGTGACGACGCATACGAAGAATTAGGAACTGGAGGGCTAGGTTGGCCCTGCATCGAACCGGTGCTGGTGATGCTGGAAGGCGACGCCAGATGGCGCTTGGATACTTCGGGTTGGTGCCATGGACTGGGACTTCTCCTATCGCCTCGAATATCAAACGGTTGCATAGTTTGGAGTCGAGCCAAGGGAGATGTCAGAGGGGAGGCATTGACCATTGAAGAAGGCATCTGATTAGGTCGGCTCATATTTGGAAGCGGTGTTGGAAGACGAAGCAAAGACAAAGAATTCGCTAATTGAGGACCGCCTCTGAGAAGAGAAGAAGTAAGGTTAGGATTAGCCGCCAGGATATTAGAGGCTATCGATGCCGCAGATAAACTAGAGGAATGATTCATATTGGGCCCTCCTGGTGCGCCGTGTTGCCCTAGCATATAAGTGGGATCGCATCTTGCATCGCTGGCTGCATTTCTGCCCATTGGATTTAGTAAAGCATTGCGTTCCAAGAACTTCTTAAGTTGCTCTGGGTCAAGAGCTTTCATAGGATCGTGCGCTTTGTGTAAAGAATCATGGGGCATTGGGTAATACTGTTGATGGTATGTCTGACTCTGGCTTGAGTAAGGAGGAACTCGGTGATTTTCGTTTCGACTTCCGAACTCGTCCATAGTGTCACGCCGTTCAAAACTTCGTCTATCTGTAGATTCTCTTCTATCACTACCGGTGTCCCTTCCAGAATTATTATCAATAGACTCGGGTAGAGGGCCGTTGTCGTGCTGATCTGACCGGTCATGGATATCTCCGAAGTCGCGATTTTCAGGTGCGTCTTTCGTATCGTGAGATTGACTTTCGGTCTCGTTACTTTTAGCCGCGTGGTCACTCACAGGCGAACAATGTTGCGACTTGGCGGCGTCTCTGATGTCTCGAGCGTGGCGCACGTCCCGAGCAACGCGGTCCAGGTTGGAACTGGAATCATTGTGCAGAAGGTGGGAGACGATGTTCTTCGTTTCACCGAACCTAAGAAACTGTTGTAGGAGAAGAGCTTCTTCCTCTGCAGTCACCATGTTCCAGCGATGTAACGGCTGGCCTTGTGTATCCTGAAATTACAAATTGTGTTAATATTCAAGTCAGTTTCGTAGATCCGTATTCTACATATGAAATAAAGCAAACGAAAGTTGAAGCTTTTCCACGAAAGGTTGGAATTAACTGCGGATAATTTAATTGAATCCATAATCTGAATTGTTCTGTGAAGACCTAAATTAGAGCCGTCATTCGTGACTCTGATCAAAAGGAGCATATAAATATAATCGAATAGCTATAATTAGCCCTATTTAACTTCACAGCAAGAATTGTAAGATTTAATTATTCACGACAAACTACGACGATGTATTTAACGAAATAAATCTGAGCGTATTTCAACGCTAGACAACACCCAGTCCGGGATCGCTATAGCCGATTATGAGAGCACCGGTATAAAAAGAGCGCGTTACGACAGCATCGCGAGGTGGTGACAGTTGCATGACGCCTCGCACTTTTTCGGCCGGTTTTTCGAGGCGTTTTTGCTCATCCTTACTCGTCTCCGTGTTATAATTACTGAAGCGCCAGCAGATGACTACAGCATAGGACTCGATTGGCGGAGCAGTTATTGTGGTAGCTCTAAAAGCATGGGGGAAGCAGCGGCTGCAATTAAGCCTGCTGGAAAAACACCTCCTGCGCCCTGATCAATCCCACACAAAAGATTAATCATGATGATGATGGCTGCGAACATGGAGCAGACAACAGTGACATCCAACACCAAAAATACAGATCGTCAAGCTTCCTAGATTGGATTGAAAGATTTCAGCATATTGAGAAGCGAGGGAAATACGCAAATTTGTTTAGTATTAAATGAATTATATAGCTTTCTGACGTACTTGATGAAAAAAAGATTGTTCTAGACAATGTGTGAACGCATTGAAGGGTTGAGTGCAGGGATAAAATAATGCACGTGTCAGTGTAATAAAAAACAACACTTGATCGCTGCAAAACATCAAACTATCTGAGATAAATATGGGAGTATTGAAATCGTGTTTTTCGGCCGAGCCTCGATTTTTCGCGTATGAATGGGGGCCTGTGTGAGACTGAGTTCGTACAACTTTCGGCGAAGTCAAATTATAATGCGGAAAGAAAGGTGCGCATCTCTCTGCGACGTCGGAACGCTGATCGTAATTGAGTCAATTCTGGGTTTGGTTTGAGGGCCGTGACGCTTCTTGACAAGCTCATGTGATGGATGACAAGGCGACACTGCTCACCAAGCGATCCCTGTCATGATACGACATCATCTAGCTTGCTATCTCGCGAGCTCCTAAAACAAAATTGGTGTTGTCGTGCGGTGCAACCGCAAGAAAACTCAGACATTGCAAACCCAAAGCACTGCCAGCCATGCGAACTCCACTTACTGAGTTTGCATAGTTTTTTTCGGCTTATATCAGGCTTGATTCGAGTACTCCACAACCTCAGTTCTTGTTCATGTAAGACTTTTGACGTGCTAAGCTCGATCATGACTAGCAAATAACTGTGATTACCTGGGCCCATTGCAACCTGTTTGCTCCATGACTAATTTCGAAAGTACTTATTTGACTCAATGCCGTAATCAGATAAGAGATGCACAACTCGGTAAACAGTGACATGCTCTGCACACTGAGTAGAAAGAGGCTGGTATAGTTCGGCCATCTAGAAAAATTGCTTTGTATTGCGTTTCCAACAAGCCCCAAAACAAGATTTCAATGTTAACTTTTATTATTTTAATTTTTGTTACACTTCCCGAAAAGAAGGGAGGAAGGTTAATTTACAATGTTCATCAGGTCATCAAAACGTTACTAGTTATTCGATTCTTCAATCTAAATTAAAATAGAGCTACGGTAATTGATTTATAATTACCTGAAGCATGTATCCTCGAGAATAATCTTCATAGTTCCAGCCAAAACCGTGAAGTAATTGCTGAACTTCATCGTGCGTTAGCACTGAAAACAGTCGATCCAGGGCTATTTTGAGCCGAATTGGCAGGGCTTGGCACCTGTACAGAATGAGAGACGCCACGTCGTACACCACTGAAGGTTTGACATGTTCGACATTTGAAGAATCGTTGCCATTTGATTGCCGTTCTGAAAGAACTGAATCGCCGTCCATCAAACGAGATCTCTCATCCAAACCTCTTAGTCGATCATTCATTGTAGATCGCGATCGATCATCCATGGGTCCTCTCTTACTGTCATCGATGCCACGGAGTCGTTCATCCAAGGTTCGAGGTCGATCATCCACCACTCGGGAGCGATTGCATGTCTTCGTATCCCTGCCCCCGTAGAGCCCCCCAGGTGCAGACGCCGCTATGTCTCTTGCCAAGTCCCTCTGGCTGCGATTGTTTACGGACAACGACGCTCCCAAGCCGACACCTAAGCTGGGGCCGAAATTTGCAAGTCCAACCCCCAAGCCGTGCGGAAAGCCGCGAGCCAAGGCTGAAGCATCCACCCCAAGGGGGAAGCCGGCTGCGAGACCCGGGCCAAACCCGCCTGGCAGGCCCGCCACAAGCCGGGAGTGCACTCCGGACACCAGCTCTCGGTACGCCAGCTGGCTCAGTCCTGCAAAAAACAATATCTCTGTCAACATTGCAAAACTTTAATCTCTGAGTACTGAGGCTTCACAAACTATCATTTCAATGCGTAGATTTTGTAATGAATATTGAAATTTGAAATGTCTTTTTCTGCCGACTTATACATATCACGACCGGAATTTTTGGTTTATAAAAAAATTGTATGAAAATAAGACCGAGTTCATCTATGTCATACATCCCGTTATTTAAACAACAAAACACTGGATTCATCTCTGTCATCATTCATACAACGCGAGTGTCAAAAAAATATTTGAACACCAACTTGAACACATTTGTTTCAGTAGACAAATTGATGGTTAACCGCCGTAAAAATAATTCATTACACGAATGTGCGCGGATGTCTGTATCGAATGCACGGTGACAAGAATGTTAGTATCGAGTATGATCGAGTGATCCTCTGCCAGGTGTAGCCAGAGCTCAAAGATATGATGTATTTTGACGGAGATTTGATATTGATGAGCACCATATGCTGCTGGAAATACGAGCAAAGGAAAACTTGACTATTTTTCGTGTTGCACGTCTCTCCTTTATTTAAAAGTTTCAGAAATATTACATACTGCAAACATGTTTACCTTAGATTGTAAGTTCCAAATTGTAAGTGACTGTAATAAATAATTATTGGTGCAATTTTTGCGATGCATAATCGTCATAGCCGATACCGCATATATAACCGGTGATGTTGCAGTATCACTTATGGAGTAAACATTCCGTGGAGTTTGCTTCGAACGCTAGCTTGAGAGCGAGTTGCTTTGGTCAGCGATGCGATGAGATGAAAACTAGAAGCTTTTAAATCTAAATGAAACACTCGAAGATGTAACTACAGAACAACGAAATATCGATGCGTCAAGGAATGTGGATAGGGAAGATACTAACTAAGACTTTTTCTAGTATACGATAAAAAATCGAGGACTTAGGAGTCCCATCAATATTACTTACTTACTTATTACAATAATAAATTCGACCGATTGAATTTGATAATCATTCGAATTATGATTATCAACAACCGTTAACACATATAGGTAAGAGCAATCAATTTAAAAGCAATAATTACTAGCTAATATATTCTATATTGTAATTCATCATTCTCTACCGAATGAAAAATGTACTAGGTCTGTTATTCTATATGTATGAATACTTCATTTGAGAATAATGGTTCATTGTATACGTGCATTTATCATTCGCAAGCAATATATACATTCGGAAATCGATTCCAGGTATACCCTATGAGAAAGTCCAAGCAAGACTCTCGATCATTCGATTTAAACGACGCAAACAGAATATAAATTAAGTGGCGATGTCATTTATTATGCAAAATTTATCTGGTTGGAATTATCAATGACACAAGTGTTCAACGCAGGTGCAAACAAGGTTGACTTTAAATCAATGCTATCATGCTCTAATTTTAAACTAAATATTACTTGCCGATAAATTTAATAATTTGAAAAACATTAAAGACATCGTGTAAAAATTTATGCAGAGACAAAATCATGATGGTTCGTTGAAGGCAAATTTTCAATAAATGTTCAAAAATTTTAGAAGCGACGTTTCATTTTTTGATTATACTCGCGATTTCCTCATAATAAATTCTATTTGCGGCCTTTTTGTTAAAATGTGAGCATGGATTATCGTTCTCATTTATACGCCGAATACAGTAAAGGATTGTAAAAAATGGGACTCTGGTTGGAATCTGCTTGGATATAAACTCAATTTTTTATTACCCTCGTGATTCTTCGGAAATAATAACGCAACACAAAATATAATCTAAGGCCACAAAATTCACTTCACTTTCATTTTGTTTGGAAAAATACATTAAATTAAGTTCTATCCATCGAAAAAGGGAAAGGAAATTTTTCAATGGCTTTCAAACATTGACCGTCGAGGGCAGTTATCTCGACAAACCTACTGTCTACATCCTCTTTTAATTTTCTATTTCCCACATTCCTTTTCATTTTCCATTTTCTGAATTCTTCCTTTCCTTTTCCAATATGCAAATAAGAGATGTGTGCAATTATAGCATGAACCGGCCAGGGAGTATCGAGGTGAGATGTACGTATTTGCAGATACGTACATCTCACCTACAGATATGCAGATACCTCATCTCATCGTTTATGTTCGGATCTACACATACATACTGTATGTAGTGCCGAAATCGCGGAATTACCGATTCTATGAAATCGGCAGAATATAGTTTGCCGAATTTGTAGAATTAGCATTTCTATATGTACTATGGGAATCTGGGGTTTGGTCAGTCAGCCAAGTTTTTTTTAATGTTTAAGTATAGAGGTAAGAATAAATGTTAAGTGTATAAACTTGACCGAACTTGATCTAACCTTTTCTAACTCCAACTGTCGATTCGTGCTATAACTCTAACTCTAACGTCCTATTTTCCGAATCAGCACCGAAATTCTGATTCTACAGATTCGGCAAACTGGCTACCGATTCCATAAAATCGGCATTTCCGCGATTTCGGCACGACACATACATAACACACCTACAACAAGACCGCTCATGGAGTATCGAGGTGAGATGTATGGACCCAAGTACGCGTTCTAGAGTATGGGGCCCGTACGAGCGGAAACAGGCAGGAGTTGGTAGCAGGCAGTCGTTCACATGCCTAATGTCAGTCATCAGACGACTAACAGGCCGATCGATCAGCCCTGCTGCGACTCCGAGTCCGCAATCGGGGGTATTGAAGTTCCGAGGTATAGGACCAGGTTATTAGTGACAACTGGATTATTAGAAATGCTTGGATGCATGCGATTGTTTATTAATTATAATAAGAATTACATAAATTAGACAGGACCGGGTGCGATAAGCAGCAGAATTTAAGGTCATTTTACGATAATTTCAAAATGAAAATTTAAATAAAAAAAGCGCTTAATATAGCTTTTTGTTATAAAGCACAGCTAAGCATTATTCAACACATTGTATTCTGATTATAATTATTAGTAAAACCAGACAAGCTGTTTCAGCATCCTGTCATCAAAACGAGTTCAAGGTTTAATAATTGTTCTATTGTATAATGATAGTCAACGTCCGACATCTTTGCGACACTAATAACCGTAACCAGTTTTCAACATCTTCTGAACGCTAAGCCACGAGTTTCATTTCAGTGGACAACGACGACACACAAGAAACTAGAAGTCCGTCATGTCTCGAGTGTGAAGAGCTCAGCGGTGCTCGCAAGCAGACGCGGCGGCTGCGGTGAGACGAGAGCCGCTGCGACAACAAACAGCAGAGCCGCTCTTCGCGGGAGTCCTGCTGCTGCTGCGTGGCTCTCATCCTTGGCATATTTTAACTACATGTTTGTTAATAGATAACGTGCCGCGGCTAGGTGCTTTGTGTATGTGCGTTGGTATACATTTAAAGTACATGTGTGTTAATAGATACCGTGCAAATGTTGATTGTAGATATCAATTTAAAAGCATATTTAATTTAAATGGGATAGAAAAATTTAGTCTCAGGACTTGAGGAACAACACGTGCGAAAACCATGCGAATCAGGATCAGTGAACTCACCATTCACAGGATCAGTGAATGAACGCAACAAACGTACAAAGTGACAACATTCCCTGCTGTACAAGTTTGGAGTACATAATAAAGAACGAGAACGCAATAACGCAAGAGTGAGCAATGTCGAGAAAATCCGTTTATAGAAGGACGGTGTCCATGAGGCATGCAATTAAAGCCTAGCAAAAACAGACGAGTGAGGACACCCTGCCCCGAGTTAACAAACAACGCCATTAAAAGATATTAGGTGGTTTTTGGCAGCGATGAGTTTTTGCAAGTGACAGCTTAGTGGGGTCCAGGTCATTATAAATGTTTATCATTATAATACATTAGCGTCCCGTCGTCTCACTTGTCACTCAGGTATGTGGTTGTTGTCTATATGCGAGTGTATATATACGCTTCGAATATTAATCGTAAAAATTTGTGCACGCAGTCATGTTAGACTGCATGCACTAAGGCATTTAGTATACATACGTTATGTGTGCAGTACATGACTCGCTCATAAATGCCTGAATAATTGGGTGATTCCGCTTCTATAACATATCTTCTCCGTGATGCAACCTTGGATTCCGTGTGTACATTAATTATCATTGAAACCTGGTCTTTTGATTTTCAAGAGTACCTATACGTGCGCACGTTAGAAAAATGTTACGTAATTAGTTTGTAATTAATTAATTTTGAGATAGCATTGACTTAACAAGTTAGTAACAAGGATATTGAGCGTTATAGTCAGTTGAAAATGCGACAGGATGATATTGCACTGTTCGGTAAAATGTTTACGTTTCTATCAGGACCAACTATAACATTTACGAAGATCCTCCTATGCCACAAGCTGGCTGAGGTAGAGATTAAATCCTGCAGTTAATGTGCTTAATATAGCGACTTTTACCGCACTCATCAAGTGCCTATACCGATCGTTGTCTAACTCAACAAGTGATCAGCTGAGACAGTATCAAATACAAACCATGCGCAAATAAATAGGTGATGGTATAAATAATGGCGAATAATACAGACGCCAACGATACATAACCCAGACCATGCATGCATGCAGAAAGGGGTGAAGACGCCTCCGTGGAAGAAGTGTTTTGTTGAGACGATACATTACACGGCCATGCAGGCCTGCTGGTGTACAGACCATAAGCGACAGACGAGCGACCCTAGACAGTCCTGCCATCCTCGACACTTTCTAAACAGTAGCCAGGCACCAGCGACGGCATGCAGACAGGACGCCCGTCAATCGTCAGAACGGGCAAATATTTACATATGGCATTGACGAACAGCCCGACAGGAGGCGCTCTGCGACCGATGCGTTATAGACGCGCGTATACGGCCGCCGGAGACCCACTCTCTATATTAGGATCGCGTGGTCACGCCCGCCTACCCTAGAGGCGTCGCGAGACCCGCGTTACGGGCGAAGGTGTCACGACACCCGCGTTACGGACGAAGGTGTCACGACACC